ACTCTGAACAGGAGCAAGTTTTGTGTCCTTATAAAGGAGTTGGGAGTAGGACATCCCACTTCATGCAACATATGAGTCAGACATTTCTACATGATTGATCTGTGATTTAATGGTGAGAGGAAGACCTGTGTTTTCACACTATGTATGGGCTTCTTCCGTATCGTTTACAGTCAGACTTACTCGTAAAGCCAGGGTTTCTGGACTCCCACGGGTGCAGGTGGGTTTGAATTCTTCCCAACCAGCATCATTTACATCATTTACGCTGTTTTGGCAGATTATTTTGACATTGAACTCTGAGATATAGTTTGTGTTTTATGAAAAAATGTTTTCTTTCTTAAAGTATACACAAACTCCAGGGTTTCAGTTTGCTTGGTTCCCATTTTTGGCAAAAGAATGTCCAGAATATTCCTCCTGTTACTGTATTCTGTTTTTGGATTATCATTTCAACATTTTGTGATTTGTTCACAAGCCAAATATCAGAAATCATCCTTTGTTGTTTCCAGACAAACAGGTTGTTGCAACCCAGGAATCTTCTCCATGCGAGCTTGCACTTCAGAAGCACACACATTTCTCAACCGCAAGAGGACGTAACACAAACATATCTTTGTGCGTCATCCACCGAACACATTCTTAAAACAATTACGAGTTGAGGTTCTTTTTAGTTGTGTTTATCTTAATTTGATTTATAGTGTGTGTGTGTGTGTGTCTGTGTTTGAGAAAGAGAATGATGGGAATAGTGGGTGAAAATGGCAAATGAAGGCAAATGTTTACTGGACTGCAGCTGTGCAGTTAACGTCAGCTTGTACTCTCCGGTGAAGAAACGTGGAACATCCCCCCGAGAAGCTGCACTTTGTCTTCAAAGGTTCAGTGTGTAACATTTAGGTGAAAGGGATCTGTTTGCAGAAATTGAATATAAAATAATCCTAAAGATGTTTTCATGAGTGTGTTTCATCTAAATTGCCCAAACTGTTGTTTACTTTACCCTAGAATGGACCATTTATATTTAAATATGTTTTTATTTACATCAGGAGCAGATCCTCTCTAAGGAGACCACCATGTTTTTTACAGTCGTCCAAACTAAATTTCTTTTGAGTTTTCATGACAACTGAAGGTTTCCACAGGTTCTCTTTCATGTTTGGAAGGGTAGGGGGAGGTGAGGGGTATTCAGCTGCAACATGCAACTTCACCACTAGATGTCAATAAATTCTACACACTGAACCTTTAAGTGCCTCACTCCTCTGTTTCATACCGGCAGAGGTCCAAACAAATAACTTCCTTATTTCTCACCTGCCAATCAAAACAGAGTACATACTCAGGTCTGTCAAATTATTCAAAACTATATCGGAAGAATCACAAAATCCAGATGTGATAAATATCTTCCTTAATCGTCTAATATCAGAAATATCTCTTTACAATGTATGGATCATAAATTCCATGCGATGAATAAAAATGGGAAACAGTTTTAAAAATGAAACTCAGCCAGGAGAGGGCGCTATCCTTTTTGGTCTTTTAGCCTCTGTTGGTATAGTTGCACAGGTTCAGTAGTTCCATCACTGCCACCGCCACTGTTTTTACATCATGTTTAAAAAAAAACATAATGAAAGAAAATACTAAATGAAATGATGATGATGATATTTTTTTTGTTCGATTTTAAAGACACTATATTTTCTCCTTTTCATTTTCAATATGACTCCATAGATTTGGGATATGTATGAAAACAGCCTATATATCAGTTTCAAATAATAATGTTATTTTTTCTTATCTAAATTTTTTAACATTTATTCATCACCTGTTTAGGATTTACAAAAAAATCCAGAACTGTTTATAAGCTTGGCCATGCCTTAATAGTATTGGGGTTTCCTCTTCCTGCCTTGGCTCATCTCCAATCCTGTAGTGCTTAATTCACCGTTGCATGAGCAAAATCATGAAGTATACATTTCTATGATGACACATATATAATACATTTCTGTATCTGCCTACAAAGACACTGAGTATGTGGAATTTTATCAGGGGTGAAATACACTGTAGCATAACAGAACAAAATATTAATGGAATGCATTACACATAACTAAAGCATTTGCACTACAGGACCACATAGCATACCTCTCTAAGCCCCCCTCCCCATCTCACTCCTTTCATGCCCTGTCTTGTGGTATCTTAGTAACAGTATGCTCCTTATTGCTCGGCATCCAAGCGACCAAAGCTGACAGTTTGAGGATGAACTCGGCATTTACATTTTAATGGCTCATATTCTCAAAGACGACTGAGAGCCCCGTTACTCACACTTACCTGTGATCACTCAATGCAAGGGGAGAGCTGC